AGTTTGATGGGGAACTGTCACACCCAGGTCTTCAGTGCCCCTTATTTTTTGTGGTCGTGGACACCTGCTGCCTGAGCTGCCCGCCCTCCCAGGCATCGCCGCTGACCCTTCGGAAACTCTTCACTGACCTTGGGTGTTGTTTTACCGCACCTCCCAGGGTGAAGGTTCTGCCTACTGGGAAGAAGCCCTGGGCTATCCCCCGGCCGTGTTCCAAACCACGTGACAGATGTGTCTGTGCCTTTGCCGGAAATGTCATTGAGTCCAGAAGGTGTTGGTATACAATTACATTTTTCCAGGTCCATGAATCAGCCTGTCATATTTTGTTCTTCACGAATGTCATGTTTGAGGAGTGCCTGGGTGGCTCCGTCGGTTAAGTGTCCCACTTTGGCTCGGGTCATGATCTCGCGGTTTGTGAGCTCAAGCCCGGCATCAGGCTCTGTGCTGACAGCTCGGAGTCTGGATTCGCTTTCAGATTCTGTGTCTCCCTTTCTGTCTCTGCCCCTCCCCTGCTTGCACTCTGTCTCTCTCTCTCAAAAATAAATAAACATTAAAAAAAAAAAAAAAAGTAATGTTTGAGATTTTAGTTACTATTTCACTTGTCAGTTTTGAATTAAAACCACTGTTTGCCACTGTCTTGGGCGTGTCTCCTGTTGTCTCCTTGAGTCTTGCTTGACAGGAGGCTGGGCACACAGGTGAATTTAGGTGAGGCCACATTGATCTGATTGACACACTTTCTGGGACAGGTGCAGGGGTGGGGCGGCCATGACAGAGACAGGCGGAAGTCCCCGCTCCCCTGCCCCATAGGGCAGTGGTGGCTGCTCAGCAGACCTGTAGCCGGATCAGTTCACAGCACTGCTGTGATGCCCAGGGCTGTGCTGTTTGTAGTGCTAGCTCCTTCCCACTTCCGTCCCTTTTGTGTGCCCCTTAGGTCAGGCAGTCTGGCTGCTCCTCTGTACCAGGCCTGAGGGTCTGCACCCAGGATGACCCAAGGAGCATGTGACCTTGGTTGTGTCCAGGAGTCCCATGAATCCCCAGGGCTCCGTGTGCACAGCCCTCACTCGCAGTATCGCTGGCCTGGCTTGTGAGGACAGTCCAGGCCTGTCATAGTTCTCGATAGGCCTTAGCATGGTGACCATGATTCTTCCCCACGAACTGCCCCTGAGGACAAAGAAGTTCCTGCTAATCTCCAAGGGAAGCTACTGGATTTGATATGCTTCTGTTATATGCTTTGCTCATAGGGACAAACCATTAAGGGGCTGACTGAACCCCAGAGCTTGGTCCAATCGTTGGTACTTCTTGTGAGATGGAGTATTTATGAAATGTGTAAAGCACACTTGGCTTACTGTCAAGCTGTGGAGCGTTGAAAACAGCACGTTGCCATAAATAAATAGTGCTACCAGTCTAGCTAGAGGACCTATAATGCTGGTCACATTTGTACCATGTACTACATTTAAAAAATCCATTTCTCAGAGCGCCTGGATGGCTCAGTTGGTTAAGCATCTGACTTTTTTTGTGTTTTGAGAGGGAGAGAGCGCTTACGAGAAGTGCAGAGAGAGGGAATACTAGGCAGGCTCTGCACCATCAGTGCAGATGGTGCAGAGCTGATGTAGGGCTTGCACTCACAAACCATGAGATCGTGACCTAAGTGGGAGTCAGACGCTAACCCGACTGAGCCACCCAGGCTCCCCAAGCGTCTGACTCTTGATGTCGGCTCAGGTCATGATCTCTTGGTTCATGAGATTGAACCCTGCATTGGGCCCTGCACTGACAGCATGGAGCCTGCTTGGGGTTGTCTCTCTCCCTCTCTCTGTCTCAAAATAAATAATATTTAAAGAAGAAGTAAGCTCTACTTGCCCAACAGGGGGCTTGAATTCATGAACAGCAGTTACGTATTCCACCAACTGAGTCAGCCAGGCATCCCAATGGTTAGCTTTTTTTTTTTTTTCTTTTGTAACCAGTCAAGTATTTTTAATTTTTTAAAATGTTTATCTATCTTGGAGAGAGAGGGAGAGACAGAGCATAAGCAGGGGAGGGGCAGAGAGAGAGGGAGACATAGAGCCAAAGTCAGACCGACTGAGCCACCCAGGCACCCTACCAATAAAAGATTTTTTTAAGACTTTTTTTTTTTTTAATGTTTATTTGTTTTTGAGATACAGAGACAGAGTGTGAGCAGGGGAGGGGCACAGAGAGAGAGAGAGAGAGAGGGAGAGGGAGACATAGAATATGAAGCAGGCTCCATGGTCCAAGCTGTCAACACAGAGCCCGATGCGGGGCTCGAACTCATGAACCGTGAGATAATGACCTGAGCTGAAGTTGGATGCTTAACTGACTGAGCCACCCCGGTGCCCCTAAAGTGTTTTTTAATTAAGGCATGGGCGTTGTGTTTTTAGACATAACGCTACTGCCACTTAATATATTGTCTCCAGTAGAGTGTAACTATAACTTTTATATGTACCGGGAAACCAAAAAGTTTGAATCTCTTTATCGTGATATTCACTCCACTGCAGTGGTCCGAACCTGAACCTTCAACATCCTAAGGTAGGCCTGCACCTTGCCTGCAGTTCTAATGCTCAACAGACCTGTACGTGAAAGAAGCCTGCCTCCTCCCTGCTATGGTGCAGCCCCGGCGGTGATGGGGCCTCCTTGTCTGGGAGCTGGGGTCTGGTGTGTGTGTGTGTGTCTGACCCGGCCTGAGCCAGCCTTCCTGGGGCTGGTCTGCTGCATAGAGAGGGGTTCATGCGGCCCTGTGGGGCCTGCCCAGGCTCCTGCCTCTTCTTGCCATCTGCTCTTCCCTTCTCTATATCTGTGCTCATCATGTCTGGGGTGCAGGACGTCCTGTCTAGTCTGGTTTTTGACTTTATGTGTTTGGTGCATTTCAAAAGGAGCTTCTCCTTCAGCTCTCTTCTTGTGGTGGCTGAGCTGTCATCCGCTGCGCAGTCTTGGTTACTGTGCCCACCTGTCCGTCCTGTTTGTGGTGTACTTTCCCTAGGATTGTGGCTTCTTCATAGTTCCCTGTCTCCCTTCCCTGTTTAAAAGGAGAGGAAATGTTTATCTATCCTTTATGAACAAACATAATACAAGAAACAGAGCTCTCTATGGCCACGCTGCTCCCTTAGTTATTCAGATATATGAAATTAAGTGTTCAATCGTATGCATCCTGCTTTTATAGTTATAGCATTGATACACTTATCACCTGTGTGTATCCTTACAGGCTCATGTTTTTTCCCAGTTTGGGAATATTCTGATTTCCTGTACTTACTGATCTCTTTTTAGGGTTTACAGGGTCACAGCTTGGCTAGTGACAGTCCCTCCAGGCCAGCTTCCCCCTCACCTTACTACCACAGACACATGTGAAGACCTCCTTTTCAGACATAGCAAGGGATTCCAGTACCATATATATATTTTTTAATGTTTTTATTTATTTATTTATTTTTGAGACAGCACAAGCATGGCAGGGGCAGAGAGAGAGAGAGTGAGACACAGAATCTGAAGCAGGCTGCAGTCTCTGAGCTGTCAGCACAGAGCCCGACGCGGGGCTTGAACTCGCAAACCACGAGACCATGACCTGAGCCAAAGTCGGACGCTTAACCGACTGAGCCACCCAGGCGCCCCAGATTCCAGTACCATATTGATTGATTCTCTTTTTTCTGTTCTAAGATATGGAGTTAAGTGCTGTCCTGAGGTCTTTTAACGGGGAGTACTACTAGAAATAAATCTGGGTGCTCTGGGTTTGTTTTGTGGTATTCTGCAACAGTCTGGTGGTGGAGAGGCTAATGATGTCACTGCTAGAACACTTTAGAGCCAGAGAAAGAGAATTCTTTTTATGGTTGTGGGTAAACTTGGTTGTTTTTCTGAAACTCTCTAATCCTTTCGTAATGCCTACCTAAGTTTTTAACTATTTTTACTCCCTTCTCCTTAGTATTTCTTTGTATCTCATCGACAAGTGTTCTGTCATTGCTTTCTTGCTGGATTACCAAATTGCTTTCCAAAAGCATTATAACCTCATCATGGGCTTACTAGTGCCAGCTGCAGTTACAGGAGTGCTCTTGTTTTGGCCTGGCCTGGCCAGCACTTGCTGTTTGTGTGTGTTGTAAATATATTTAATCATTGTTATTATCTGTTTTTTCATCTTCCAACCTCTCCCCTAATTAAAAACATACAGTGCTATCTTTGGTTGCTTTCATTTGTCTTTGAATACTACATGTATTTACATCTCTTGGTTCCTTGAGTTTTCTTGGTTTCTTAAAGTCTTGATGATTAATAGATTTGAATGAGTTCTTGTGTATAAATTAATGCAGTCATATGTAATACAACTGCTTAAAAAAATTTTTTTTAACGTTTATTTATTTTTGAGAGACAGAGAGAGATAGAGCATGAGTGGGGGAGTAGAGCAGAGAGAGAAGAAGACACAGAATCCAAAGCAGGTTCCAAGCTCCGAGCCGTCAGCACAGACCCCGACGCGGGGCTTGAACTCACAGACTGCGAGATCATGACCTGAGCTGAAGTCTGACGTTTAACCGACTGAGCCACCCAGGCGCCCCTGTAATACCACTGTTTTTAACAACTTATTGAGATATAATTCATATACCATACAATCACCTTTTTAAATAATTCAGTGGGTTTTAGTGTATTCACAAGGTTATACAGCCATCATCACTATCTAGTTCCAGAATGTTTGGGTTTTTTTTTAACGTTTATTTATTATTGAGAGATAGAGAGACACAGAGCATGAGCAGGGGAGAGGGCAGAGTGAGAGGGAGAGACACAGAATCCGAAGCCATCAGCACAGAGCCCGATGCGGAGCTCGAACTCACAAACTGCAAGATCATGACCTGAACTGAAGTTGGTTGCCCAACCAACTGAACCACCCAGGCGCCCCTAGTTCCAGAATGTTTTTGTCACAGAGCCTTTAGCAGCCACTCTCTGTTGCCCCCCCCCCCCCCCCCCCCCCCCCCGCCCCGCCCCACCATCCCTGACGACCACTTATCTGCTTTCTGTCTATGTAAATGCCCGTTCTGGACATTTCATGGAAATGGAATCCCATAGTATGTGGCCTTCTGTGTCTGGCCTTTTTCACTTGGCATCATGGTTTTTATGTTCATTTATGTTGTAGCACGTGTCAGCTCTTTCTCTTTATGACTGAATAATACTCTGTGTTTTTTAAAAAGTTTATTTATTAGAGAGAGAGCATGCATGAGCAGGGGAGGGGCAGAAGGAGAGGGAGAGAGAAAATTCCAAGTAGGCTCTGCACTGTCAGTGCAGAGCCCATCTTGTGGCTCAAACTCATGAACCATGAGATCATGACCTGAGCCGAAGTCGGATGCTTAACCAACTGAGCTACCCAGAAGCCCCAGTACTCTGTTTTATGGCTAGACTACATTTTGTTCATCCATTTATCCATTGGTGAACATCTGGGTTGTTTTCACCTTTGGTTGTTAAGAATCATGCTGCTGTGAACATTTTTGTTCAAGTTTTGTGTGGACATAGGTTTCCATTTCTCTCGAGTACACGCCTAGGAGTGGAATTGCTTGGTTATGTGGCTCCTGTTTCCTTTTGAGGAACTGTCAGACTGTCTGCCAGATTTCTCTCTGCACCGTTTTCTATTCCCAATAGCAGTGTGTGAGGGTCCCAATTTCTCCACATCCTCACCAACATTTGTTCTGATCTTTTTAATTCTAGCCACCCTAGTGGGTATGAAGAGGAATCTCACTCTGTCTTTGATTTGCATTTCCGTAATCACTAATGATGGTGAGCATCTTTTCATGTGCTTATTGGCCATTTGTATATCTTTCTGGAGAAATGTTATTTGGATCCCTTATCTGTTAACTGTGTGTGTGTGTGTGTGTGTGTGTGTGTGTGCGCGCGCGCTTGGTTTTAATCGAGTCGTAGGAGTTCTTTATGTAGTTTGGATACAAGCCCCTACCAGATACATGATTTGCAAATATTTCCTTCCATTCTATGAGTTGTCTTTTCACTTTCTTGATGGTGCTTTTGAAGCACAAAAGTTTTTAATTTTGATGAAGTCTCTTTGATCTGCTTTTGTTGCTATTGTTGCTTGTGCTTTTGGTCACATATCTAAGAAACCACTGCCAAGGTCAGGAAGGTTTACTGGTATGTCTTCTAATAAGAGTTCTATACTTTCAGTTCTTATATGTAGATCTTTGGCACATCTGAGTTAATTTTGTATATGATATAAGAAAGACATTCAGCTTCATTCTTTTTGTATGTGTCTATGCATATGTCCCAGCACCGTTTGTTGAAAAGTCTGTACTTCCCCACTGAAGGGTCTTGGCACCCTTGTTGAAGATCACTGGGCTGTAGATGTCTAGGCATGCTTCTGAACTCCATCCCATCCATCTCTGTCTGTCCTGTGCCAGGACCACGCTGCCTTGATTACTGTAGCTTTGTAGTAAGCTTTGAAATCAGGTGGTGTGAGGTGGTCATCTAGCATTGTTCCTTTTTTGAGGTTGTTTAGGTATTCTGGGTTCCTTGAATTGCCATATGAATTTTAGGATCAGCTTGTCAATTTCTGCAAGGAAGCCACCTACTATTTTAATAGGGACTGCATTGAATAATTTTTTTAAAAAATTTTAATGTTTATTTATTATTGAGAGACACAGACAGAGCGTGGCCATGGGAGAGGCAGAGAGAGGGAGAGACACAGAATCTGAAGCAAGCTCCAGTCTCTGAGCTGTCAGCACAGCTCAATGTGGGGCTCGAACTCACGAACCTAGAGATCATGACCTGAGCCGAAATCTGTCACTTAACGGATTCCATCACTTAACCATCCAGGTGCCCTGACGTTGAATAATTTTTAAAATCTGTTAAATTTTTGAATTTGTTTAGATAATTTAAAAACAGAACACTTTAACTGGTTTGGAGGTAAGTTTGGTGTGGGGTGTGCAATTGGGCTCAAAATAAGATATTTTCCAAATTGTGTTTTGTTTTTTAATGTTTATTTATTTTTGAGAGAGAGAGCAGGAGAGCGAGCAGGGAAGGGGCAGAAAAGAGAGGGAGACAGAGAATCTCAAGCAGGCTCAATGCTGCCAGTGCAGAGCCTGATACAGGGCTCGATCCTATGAACCCTGGGATCATGACCTGAGCTGAAATCAAGAGTTGGACACTCAGTGAACTGAGCCACTGAGGTGCCCCAGATATTTTCCAAATTGTTAACCAATTATTCAACTTCTGTATTTTTGAGAAGCTTATATATTTATTTTTATCAACTGTAAATTTTTTTTGTAGTTGACGGTTCTTGGACTCTTCTTTCCACGAGGTTATGCTTCCATGTTCTAGGACTGCTAGGTTAAAATTCTATTCATTTGTGGGATGCAGTGTTAAAGCTGTCTATTTGTTCAAGTCCTAATTGAATGCCTTCTGTGTATGCAGCCTTGTATGAGGTGCGGGTGGGTGAGTAGGCAGGGAATTCTGGGATGGGGACACTGTGGTCAGAGAATTTGGACTGACTTCCTCTGTGGATGGGTTGGCTGCAGGTGTTGTTTAGGCTTGGCAGTGATGGGAAGGCCAACTGGCTTCAGTGTGTGTGTGTGGGGGGGGTCGTTCGACATTCACTCCACCCTGAGGGAGGGGGATGATGGTGGACAGGTGCTGGATGGTGGGGTTGGTGGGCATGCAGGTCAAAAGTGGGGGCTGGGATCTAAGCAGGGAAGGGCCTTGGGAGAGGAGGGCAGTGGCCTGAACCCTGCGGCCGAATTCAGATGGCTTATCCTGTACTTGGCGGTATTTGTGTTTCAACAACGTCAGCGCGTCACTTCACGTGTTTAGAAAAAGTGAGCTGCTTGGAGTCTTACCATTTTTTCCTGTGTCCACCAGTATGACACCGTTCCTATTCAGTCCAGCGTGGTGTTATGTTCTTGCCCGTCCCCATCAATGGTGAGGACCCAGACTGAGTCCGGCTCGGCCCCTGGCATTCCCAGTGGTGGTAGCAGACAGGGCTCCACCATGGACAGCACCGCGGCTGAGTCCCGATCGAGCGCCAACTCGCTGCAGCACACCACACAGCCACCGCCACAGCCTCGGAAGAAACGGCCCGAAGACTTCAAATTTGGGAAAATTCTTGGTGAAGGCTCTTTCTCAACAGTGAGTACATGCCACCCTCGGGGGTTCAGCTCCTGTTGTGAAGGTGATTTGGGGGCTGGCTAACGCCAAGTGGGTCACATGGTTAAAATATCTAAGCCGTGATTTTGTGCATGAAAGCTTTAAAAGGTATCTTTTGATCTTTCTATTTTTTTTCTTTTAATGTTTATTTTATTTTTGAGAGCGAGAGGGGGAGAGAGCATGTGAGTGGGGAGGGGCAGAGAGACAAGCAGACAGATTTCCAAGCAGGCTCCAGGGCTTGAACCCACCAACTGTAAGATTATGACCTGAGCTGAAATCAAGGGTTGGATGCTCAAGTAAGTGACTGAGCCACCCAGGTGCCCCTGTTTTGTTTTTTGGGTTTTTTTTTTAATGCAGTTAATTTTATCCTAATTTTTATTCTGATTCTAATTTATTCATCAACAAGTTACATCCTGTGTCCTTGTGTCCCATTAGCAAGGTCCTGCCAAGTTTTTCTACCCTTTCTCTTGTAAGGGTCAGCATCAGTATCTCTTCAGGGCTTTTGGGAAACATTGACCTTTATTATTTCTCTTTTATTTAAAACAATGTGTAAAACAGCACAATCTTGACAGCTGCTAGAGGCGCAGCCTTTGGACCTGCTAGCCTCCAAATTCTCGTGGCCTCAGTTTCACAATCAGCAATAGTATTTTCACAATCAGCACCAGCAGGTCACATGCTGGGTACCTCTGTTTGCTACCTGAGTAAGCTGTGCCTGTCTTGTGGCATTTTTCCTTTTAAAGCAAAGAATGAAGGTTCAGAGCAGCCCCTTTGCTGAGGTAGCAGCTCCACGTG